GAACCAGTGACATCTAAATTGCAGAACGTGAAGAACCAGTGACATCTACATCTCCAGAACATGAAAAACCAGTGTCATCTACAGCTACAGAACGTGAAGAACCAGTGGCATCTACATCTGCAAGAACCAGTGGCATCTACACCTGCAGAACTTGAAGAACCAGTGACATCTAATCTGCAGAACTTGAATAACCAGTGGCATCTACATCTACAGAACGCGAAGCACCAGTGGCATCTACATCTACAGAACGTGAAGAATCAGTGGCATCTACATCTACAGAACATAAAGAACCAGTGGCATCTACATCTACAGAACGTGAAGAACCAGTGGCATCTACATCTGCAGAACGTGAAGAACCAGTGGCATCTACATCTGCAGAACATGAAGCACCAGTGGCATCTACATCTACAGAACGTGAAGAACCAGTGGCATCTGCATCTACAGAACATAAAGAACCAGTGACATCTACATCTGTAGAACGTGAACAACCAGTGGCATCTACATCTGTAGATCGTGAAGAACCAGTGGCATCTGCATCTGCAGAACGTGAAGAACCAGTGGCATCTACATCTACAGAACGTCAAGAACCAGTGGCATCTACATCTACAGAACGTGAAGAACCAGTGGCATCTACATCTACAGAACATAAAGAACCAGTGACATCTACATCTACAGAACGTGAAGAACCAGTGGCATCTACATCTACAGAACATGATGAACCAGTGGCATCTGCATCTGCAGATCGTGAAGAACCAGTGGCATCTACATCTGTAGAACATGAAGAACCAATGGCATTTACATTTTCAGAGCGTGAAGAACCAGTGGCATCTACATCTGCAGAACTTGAAGAACCAGTGGCATTTACATTTTCAGAGCGTGAAGAACCAGTGGCATCTACATCTGCAGAACTTGAAGAACCAGTGGCATCTACATCTACAGAACGTGAAGAACCAGTGGCATCTACATCTGTAGAACGTGAAGAACCAGTGGCATCTACATCTGCAGAACTTGAAGAACCAATGGCATTTACATTTTCAGATCGTGAAGAACCAGTGGCATCTACATCTGTAGAACATGAAGAACCAATGGCATTTACATTTTCAGAGCGTGAAGAACCAGTGGCATCTACATCTACAGAACTTGAAGAACCAGTGGCATTTACATTTTCAGAGCGTGAAGAACCAGTGGCATCTACATCTGCAGAACTTGAAGAACCAGTGGCATCTACATCTACAGAACGTGAAGAACCAGTGGCATCTACATCTGTAGAACGTGAAGAACCAGTGGCATCTACATCTACAGAACGTGAAGAACCAGTGGCATCTACGTCTACAGAACGTGAAGAACCAGTGGCATTTACATCTACAGAGCGTGAAAAACCAGTGGCATCTACATCTGCAGAACGTGAAGAACCAGTGGAATCTACATCTGCAGAAATCTGAAGAACCAGTGGCATCTACATCTGCAGAACATGAAGAACCAGCGGCATCTACATCTACAGAACGTGAAAAACCAGTGGCATCTACATCTGCAGAACGTAAAGAACCAGTGGCATCTACATCTACAGAACGTGAAGAACCAGTGGCATCTACACCTGCAGAACATGAAGAATCAGTGGCATCTACATCTGCAGAACGTGAAGAACCAGTGGAATCTATATTTGCAGAACGTGAAGAACCAGTTGCATCTACACCTGCAGAACATGAAGAATCAGTGGCATCTACATCTGCAGAACGTGAAGAACCAGTGGCATCTACATCTGCAGAACATGAAGAACCAGTGGCATCTACATCTGCAGAACGTGAAGAACCAGTGGCATCTACATCTGCAGAACGTGAAGAACCAGTGGCATCTACATCTGCAGAACATGAAGAACCAGTGGCATCTACATCTACAGAACACGAAGAACCAGTGGCATTTACATTTTCAGAACGTGAAGAACCAGTGGAATCTACATCTGCAGAAATCTGAAGAACCAGTGGCATCTACATCTACAGAACGTGAAGAACCAGTGGCATCTACATCTTCAGAACGTGAAGAACCAGTGGAATCTACATCTGCAGAACATGAAGAACCAGTGGCATCTATATTTGCAGATCGCGAAGAACCAGTGACATCTAAATTGCAGAACGTGAAGAACCAGTGGCATCTACATCTGTAGAACGTGAATAACCAGTGGCATCTACATCTACAGAACGTGAAGAACCAGTGGCATCTACATCTGCAGAACATGAAGAACCAGTGGCATCTACATCTACAGAACGTGAAGAACCAGTGGCATCTACATTGTAGAACGTGAAGAACCAGTGGCATCTACATCTGTAGAACGTGAATAACCAGTGGCATCTACATCTACAGAACGTGAAGAACCAGTGGCATCTACATCTGCAGAACATGAAGAACCAGTGGCATCTACATCTACAGAACGTGAAGAACCAGTGGCATCTACATCTGCAGAACATGAAGAACCAGTGGCATCTACATTGTAGAACGTGAAGAACCAGTGGCATCTACATCTGCAGAACATGAAGAACCAGTGGCATCTACATCTGCAGAACATGAAGAACCAGTGGCATCTACATCTACAGAACGTGAAGAACCAGTGGCATCTACATCTGCAGAACGTGAAGAACCAGTGGCATCTACATCTGCAGAACGTGAAGAACCAGTGGCATCTACATCTACAGAACGTGAAGAACCAGTGGCATCTACATCTGCAGAACGTAAAGAACCAGTGGCATCTACATCTGCAGAACATGAAGAACCAGTGGCATCTATATCTACAGAACGTGAAGAACCAGTGGCATCTACATTTGCAGAACATGAAGAACCAGCGGCATCTACATCTACAGAACGTGAAGAACCAGTGGCATCTACATCTGCAGAACGTAAAGAAACAGTGGCATCTACATCTACAGAACGGGAAGAACCAGTGGCATCTACATCTGCAGAACGTAAAGAACCAGTGGCATCTACATCTGCAGAACGTGAAGCACCAGTGGCATCTACATCTACAAAACGTGAAGAACCAGTGGCATCTACATCTGCAGAACGTGAAGCACCAGTGGCATCTACATCTACAGAACGTGAAGAATCAGTGGCATCTACATCTACAGAACATAAAGAACCAATGACATCTACATCTACAGAACGTGAAGAACCAGTGGCATCTACATCTGCAGAACGTGAAGAACCAGTGGCATCTACATCTGCAGAACATGAAGCACCAGTGGCATCTACATCTACAGAACGTGAAGAACCAGTGGCATCTACATCTACAGAACTTGAAGCACCAGTGGCATCTAAATCTACAGAACATAAAGAACCAGTGACATCTACATCTGTAGATCATGAAGAACCAGTGGCATCTGCATCTGCAGAACGTGAAGAACCAGTGGCATCTACATCTACAGAACGTCAAGAACCAGTGGCATCTACATCTACAGAACGTGAAGAACCAGTGGCATCTACATCTACAGAACATAAAGAACCAGTGACATCTACATCTACAGAACGTGAAGAACCAGTGGCATCTACATCTACAGAACATAATGAACCAGTGGCATCTGCATCTGCAGATCGTGAAGAACCAGTGGCATCTACATCTGTAAAACATGAAGAACCAATGGCATCTACATCTACAGAACTTGAAGAACCAGTGGCATTTACATTTTCAGAGCGTGAAGAACCAGTGGCATCTACATCTGCAGAACTTGAAGAACCAGTGGCATCTACATCTACAGAACGTGAAGAACCAGTGGCATCTACATCTGTAGAACGTGAAGAACCAGTGGCATCTACATCTACAGATCGTGAAGAACCAGTGGCATCTACATCTGTAGAACGTGAAGAACCAGTGGCATCTACGTCTACAGATCGTGAAGAACCAGTGGCATTTACATCTACAGAGCGTGAAAAACCAGTGGCATCTACATCTACAGAACGTGAAGAACCAGTGGCATCTACATCTGTAGAACGTGAAGAACCAGTGGCATCTACATCTACAGAACGTGAAGAACCAGTGGCATCTACATCTGTAGAACGTGAAGAACCAGTGGCATCTACGTCTACAGATCGTGAAGAACCAGTGGCATTTACATCTACAGAGCGTGAAAAACCAGTGGCATCTACATCTGCAGAACGTGAAGAACCAGTGGAATCTACATCTGCAGAAATCTGAAGAACCAGTGGCATCTACATCTGCAGAACATGAAGAACCAGCGGCATCTACATCTACAGAACGTGAAAAACCAGTGGCATCTACATCTGCAGAACGTAAAGAACCAGTGGCATCTACATCTACAGAACGTGAAGAACCAGTGGCATCTACATCTGCAAAACGTGAAGAACCAGTGGCATCTACACATGCAGAACATGAAGAATCAGTGGCATCTACATCTGCAGAACGTGAAGAACCAGTGGAATCTATATTTGCAGAACGTGAAGAACCAGTTGCATCTACACCTGCAGAACATGAAGAATCAGTGGCATCTACATCTGCAGAACGTGAAGAACCAGTGGCATCTACATCTGCAGAACATGAAGAACCAGTGGCATCTACATCTGCAGAACGTGAAGAACCAGTGGCATCTACATCTGCAGAACGTGAAGAACCAGTGGCATCTACATCTGCAGAACATGAAGAACCAGTGGCATCTACATCTACAGAACACGAAGAACCAGTGGCATTTACATTTTCAGAACGTGAAGAACCAGTGGAATCTACATCTGCAGAAATCTGAAGAACCAGTGGCATCTACATCTACAGAACGTGAAGAACCAGTGGCATCTACATCTGTAGAACGTGAAGAACCAGTGGAATCTACATCTGCAGAACATGAAGAACCAGTGGCATCTATATTTGCAGATCGCGAAGAACCAGTGACATCTAAATTGCAGAACGTGAAGAACCAGTGGCATCTACATCTGTAGAACGTGAAGAACCAGTGCCATCTACATCTGCAGAACGTGAATTAACCAGTGGCATCTACATCTACAGAACGTGAAGAACCAGTGGCATCTACATCTGCAGAACATGAAGAACCAGTGGCATCTACATCTACAGAACGTGAAGAACCAGTGGCATCTACATCTGCAGAACATGAAGAACCAGTGGCATCTACATCTACAGAACGTGAAGAACCAGTGGCATCTACATCTGCAGAACGTGAAGAACCAGTGGCATCTACATCTGCAGAACGTGAAGAACCAGTGGCATCTACATCTACAGAACGTGAAGAACCAGTGGCATCTACATCTGCAGAACGTAAAGAACCAGTGGCATCTACATCTGCAGAACATGAAGAACCAGTGGCATCTACATCTACAGAACGTGAAGAACCAGTGGCATCTACATCTGCAGAACATGAAGAACCAGCGGCATCTACATCTACAGAACGGGAAGAACCAGTGGCATCTACATCTGCAGAACGTAAAGAACCAGTGGCATCTACATCTACAGAACGTGAAGAACCAGTGGCATCTACATCTGCAGAACGTGAAGAACCAGTGGCATCTACATCTGCAGAACGTGAAGAACCAGTGGCATCTACATCTGCAGAACGTGAAGAACCAGTGGCATATACATCTACAGAACGTGAAGAACCAGTGGCATTTACATCTGCAGAACATGAAGAACCAGTGGCATCTACATCTGCAGAACATGAAGAACCAGTCGCATCTACATCTACAGAACCTGAAGAACCAGTGGCATCTACATCTACAGAACCTGAAGAACCAGTGGCATCTATATCTGCAGAACATGAAGAACCAGCGGCATCTACATCTACAGAACGTGAAGAACCAGTGGCATTTACATCTGCAGAACATGAAGAACCAGTGGCATCTATATTTGCAGAACATGAAGAACCAGTGGCATCTACATCTGCAGAACATGAAGAACCAGTGGCATTTACATCTGCAGAACATGAAGAACCAGTGGCATCTACATCTACAGAACGTGAAGAACCAGTGGCATCTACATCTGCAGAACATGAAGAACCAGTGGCATCTACATCTACAGAACGTGAAGAACCAGTGGCATCTACATCTACAGAACGTGAAGAACTAGTGGCATCTACATCTGCAGAACATGAAGAACCAGTGGCATCTACATCTGCAGAACATGAAGAACCAGTGGCATTTACATCTGCAGAACATGAAGAACCAGTGGCATCTACATCTACAGAACGTGAAGAACCAGTGGCATCTACATCTGCAGAACATAAAGAACCAGTGGCATCTACATCTACAGAACGTGAAGAACCAGTGGCATCTACATCTACAGAACGTGAAGAACTAGTGGCATCTACATCTGCAGAACATGAAGAACCAGTGGCATCTACATCTACAGAACGTGAAGAACCAGTGGCATCTACATCTACAGAACGTGAAGAACCAGTGGCATCTACATCTACAGAACGTGAAGAACCAGTGGCATCTACATCTACAGAACGTGAAGAACTAGTGGCATCTACATCTGCAGAACGTGAAGAACCAGTGACATCTGCACCTACAGAACGTGAAGAACCAGTGGCATCTACATCTGCAGAACGTGAAGAACCAGTGGCATCTACATCTGCAGAACATGAAGAACCAGTAACATCTACATCTGCAGAACGTGAAGAACCAGTGGCATCTACATCTGCAGAACGTGAAGAACCAGTGACATCTGCACCTACAGAACGTGAAGAACCAGTGGCATCTACATCTGCAGAACGTAAAAAACCAGTGGCATCTACATCTGCAGAACATGAAGAACCAGTGGCATCTACATCTGCAGAACATGAAGAACCATTGGCATCTACATCTGTAGAACGTGAAGAACCAGTGGAATCTACATCTGCAGAACGTGAAGAACCAGTGGAATCTACATCTGCAGAACGTGAAGAACCAGTGGCATCTACATCTGCAGAACGTGAAGAACCAGTGGCATCTACATCTGCAGAACATGAAGAACCAGTGACATCTACATCTGCAGAACATGAAGAACCAGTGGCATCTACATCTGTAGAACGTGAAGAACCAGTGGCGTCTACATCTGTAGAACGTGAAGAACCAGTGGCATCTACATCTGCAGAACGTGAAGAACCAGTGGCATCTACATCTACAGAACGTGAAGAACTAGTGGCATCTACATTTTCAGAACATGAGAACCATCTGCAGGAGATTATGTAACGTTTGAAGCCACCCCCCGTGTTTAGTGAACGTGCCGTACAACACGTTTGGAATCGACAGGAGTGAAATTGAACTCGTGAACAAATCGACTTACGAACAGACATCTGAAACAGGACTGTATCTATACTTCGATTGAAAGCTTTCGTGACTGCAGGGATTCATCTTCTTGGTTCTTTCGGTAAAGTCATCACGTAGAAGGGAAGTAATAAAATAATAAAAATAAAACATAATAAAATACAATTCTCACGACGTTTCGGCCACAACGCAAGCAGCCGTCCTCAGGTGAAAACAGCACACGAGCTCGTGTGCTGTTTTATTCAGACTCTGTCACCTCGACGGACCTGGTTTTCACCTGAGGACGGCTGCTTGCGTTGTGGCCGAAACGTCGTGAGAATTGTTTTATATTGTTTTATTTTTATTATTTTATTATTTCCCTTCTACGTGACTTTACCGAAAGAACCAAGAAGATGTATCTGTACTCTTAGGTTTTTTCGGTAAAGTCACCGTGTAGGTAAAACATTTTAATTAATAAAATAAATGAAAAAGTTCACGACGTTTCGGAAGCAACACAAGCTTCCGTCTTCAGGTGGAACCGTCACAGCCACGACTGCTGTATCAGCTGTCGTGGCTGTGCATTTTTTAATTTGTTTTATTTTAATTTTATTAATTTAACTTTTCTACCTACGTGACTTTACCGAAAAAAACTAAGAGTATGAATTCTTGCAGTCACGAAAGCTTCAAATCTAGGACTGTATCTACCTGTATGTATATATATATACGTCGATGTTGTACTTTAAACCGTGAAGCCACTGATAAGACGATTTTTAAAAAAAAATTGCTGATGCGTCAGTTTTAGAGGAAAAATAAAACTGCCGTTAGTAATAGTGAGCTATTGATCTATTACCATTACCCTCAGAGCACGTGGGTTCGATCACGACCCTGACGACGCCTGCTGCTGTATATTTGGAGTCTGCGTCTCTCTCTCATCATCATCATCACGGTGGCTATGAGATGTTAACTACCTCGCCTGGTGTGCAGGAGATCGTGGGTTCGATCACGACCCTAACAACGCCTGCTGCTGTATATTTGGAGTCTGCGTCTCTCTCTCATCATCATCATCACGGTGGCTGGAGATGTTAACTACCTCGCCTGGTCTACAGGAGGTCGTGGGTTCGATCTCGACCCTGACGCCTGCTGCTGTATATTTGGAGTCTCCGTTTCTCTATCATCATCATCATCACGGTTGCTAGGAGATGTTGACTACCTCGCCTGGTGTGCAGGAGGTCGTGAGTTCGATCACGACCCTTAACAACTCCTGCTGCTGTATATTTGGAGTCTGCGTCTCTCTCATCATCATCATCACGGTGGCCATGAGATGTTGACTACCTCGCCTGGTACACAGGAGGTCGTGGGTTCAATCCCAGACCCTGAGAGATGTTGACTACCTCGCCTGGTGCACAGGAGGTCGTGGGTTCAATCACCCTGAGAGATGTTGACTACCTCGCCTGGTCTACAGGAGGTCGTGGGTTCAATCACAGACCCTGAGAGATGTTGACTACCTCGCGTGGTCTACAGGAGGTCGTGGGTTCGATCACGATCCTAACAACGCCTGCTGCTGTATATTTGGAGTCTGCGTCTCTCATCATCATCATCACGGTGGCTAGGAGATGTTAACTACCTCGCCTGGTGTACAGGAGGTCGTTAGTTCGATCCCAACCCTGACGACGCCTGCTGCTGTATATGTGGAGTCTGCGTCTCTCTCTCATCATCATCATCACGAGATGTTGACTACCTCGCGTGGTGCTGGCCACCCACCCCCTCCTGTGCCACAGTGCCGGTAGCCTTCATAGGTGACGCTCGCTAACAGCACTTGCCCCAACAGCCTGTTACAGGCCACCCACCCACCCCCTCTGCTGCTACTCGCTACTGGCAACCACGTGCTCCCAACCGTCTGTTCGAGCCATATATGGACGGGCGGGGGGGCGGGGGGTCTATGGATGTGTAAATTCGCGAGCACGTGGAATGCGTTACCGCGCGTTTCGTGGGTCTCCGGGGTCAAAGTCCACAGGTTCATCGGCAAGGTCATTGCGGCAATCAATTTTGAAGGCACGGGCAAAGACAAAGGTCCCCTGTGTAGGCTGTAACAGACCGTAGGGGCAAGTGCTGTTAGCGAGTACCTTTGAAGGCTACCGGCACTGTGGCACACGAGGGGGTGGGTGGCTACCAGAGGTGTGGACTCGAGTCATGTGACTTGGACTCGAGTCAGACTCGAGTCATGAATTTGATGACTTCAGACTCGACTTGGACTTGCATAACAATGACTTTGTCCCACCTCTGAGCTGGTGTGGACTCGAGTCATGTGACTTGGACTCGAGTCAGACTCGAGTCATGAATTTGATTACTTCAGACTCGACTTGGACTTGCATAACAATGACTTTGTCCCACCTCTGAGCTGGTGTGGACTCGAGTCATGTGACTTGGACTCGAGTCAGACTCGAGTCATGAATTGATGACTTCAGACTCGACTTGGACTTGCATAACAATGACTTTGTCCCACCTCTGAGCTGGTGTGGACTCGAGTCATGTGACTTGGACTCGAGTCAGACTCGAGTCATGAATTTGATGACTTCAGACTCGACTTGGACTTGCATAACAATGACTTTGTCCCACCTCTGAGGTGTGGACTCGAGTCATGTGACTTGGACTCGAGTCAGACTCGAGTCATGAATTTGATGACTTCAGACTCGACTTGGACTTGCATAACAATGACTTTGTCCCACCTCTGAGCTGGTGTGGACTCGAGTCATGTGACTTGGACTCGAGTCAGACTCGAGTCATGAATTTGATGACTTCAGACTCGACTTGGACTTGCATAACAATGACTTTGTCCCACCTCTGAGGTGTGGACTCGAGTCATGTGACTTGGACTCGAGTCAGACTCGAGTCATGAATTTGATTACTTCAGACTCGACTTGGACTTGCATAACAATGACTTTGTCCCACCTCTGAGCTGGTGTGGACTCGAGTCATGTGACTTGGACTCGAGTCAGACTCGAGTCATGAATTTGATGACTTCAGACTCGACTTGGACTTGCATAACAATGACTTTGTCCCACCTCTGAGGTGTGGACTCGAGTCATGTGACTTGGACTCGAGTCAGACTCGAGTCATGAATTTGATGACTTCAGACTCGACTTGGACTTGCATAACAATGACTTTGTCCCACCTCTGAGCTGGTGTGGACTCGAGTCATGTGACTTGGACTCGAGTCAGACTCGAGTCATGAATTTGATGACTTCAGACTCGACTTGGACTTGCATAACAATGACTTTGTCCCACCTCTGGGCTGGTGTGGACTCGAGTCATGTGACTTGGACTCGAGTCAGACTCGAGTCATGAATTTGATGACTTCAGACTCGACTTGGACTTGCATAACAATGACTTTGTCCCACCTCTGAGCTGGTGTGGACTCGAGTCATGTGACTTGGACTCGAGTCAGACTCGAGTCATGAATTGATGACTTCAGACTCGACTTGGACTTGCATAACAATGACTTTGTCCCACCTCTGAGCTGGTGTGGACTCGAGTCATGTGACTTGGACTCGAGTCAGACTCGAGTCATGAATTTGATGACTTCAGACTCGACTTGGACTTGCATAACAATGACTTTGTCCCACCTCTGAGGTGTGGACTCGAGTCATGTGACTTGGACTCGAGTCAGACTCGAGTCATGAATTTGATGACTTCAGACTCGACTTGGACTTGCATAACAATGACTTTGTCCCACCTCTGAGCTGGTGTGGACTCGAGTCATGTGACTTGGACTCGAGTCAGACTCGAGTCATGAATTTGATGACTTCAGACTCGACTTGGACTTGCATAACAATGACTTTGTCCCACCTCTGAGCTGGTGTGGACTCGAGTCATGTGACTTGGACTCGAGTCAGACTCGAGTCATGAATTTGATGACTTCAGACTCGACTTGGACTTGCATAACAATGACTTTGTCCCACCTCTGGTGGCTACCAGCACCACCACGCCCGACCGCGTTTGTCTCACTCAGTGACGATGTTTACTCCACTACACCACTGGCGCCAGCTACTCATTTGAGGCTGAGTCGACCTAGGGGAGGCCGAGGAACAGTTCAGATAATTGCCACTACTGGGTGTTGGTGGCCGTGTGAATTCAACTCGGGGTCAACCGGGTTTGAAGCGCAGCGCTAACTGCTGCGCCACCGCTCCCCACACTAAGATACACAAAAGACAAAGATCCCCCGTATAGCCTTAACAGACTGTAGGGGCAAGTGCTGTTAGCGAGCACCTATGAAGGCCGGAACGGTACACGAGGGGGTGGGTGGCCAGCACCACGCCCGACCGCCTTTGTCTCCCTAGTGGCGATGTTTACACACCGCACCAGGTACTCATTTAAGGCTGAGTCGACACACTCAGACACACTAAGATAAACCGCCATTCGCCACTAAGTGGCGGTGACGTCACCACGACGCTTGTGCCAGGCCATGTGCACCTTGAGGCTGCCACGTGAAGTGTCGAACGCCCGCTGGCAGGAGGTCACGGGGCAGACCCAGCAGGTGCCACGGGTCGACTGACC